GTCACGGCTTGTTCGCACCCCGCCAAACTCCGGGCCCCCGCACAGTTACTGCCTGCGCCGAGTGCATGTGCCAGTGGAGGTGCCAGGTGCCCTGCACGGCCTCGGGTCCCGCGCCCAAGGAAGATGAGGGGCAAGTTCCGAGCCTCCCCGCTGGAGGCCCAACACCAGATGAGCCCGCCCCCCCACCCCTCCCCGAGGGAGATCGCCAGGCCAGGCGCCGAGTCGCCAACGTGGAGGCCGAGACCCGGTTCCTTTCATCCTGCGAGTGGCTCCAGGTACGGGAGGCTCCCTTCTCAACGACCGCGCGGAGACGGGAGTCAGAGTCCGCTCAACCCTCTGGAGTGTCTCCGCTCTGTTGCTCAGTAAACGCATGTGTCGCTGTCCGTCCCTGTTGTTTTTTTTTTTTTTTTGCAGTGTTTTTATTTTCGGTTCTTTCGTTCTTTCCGATCCAGGGACGGGATCCACAAAGAAAATTTCTGGGGGCCAGGTGTTTGTTCTCAGAACTCTGGGCAGGCCGAGGAGGGAGACCGCCGAGTCAGGACGGTCAGGCCGCCTCGAGCCGAAGAGCGACCGAATGTAACTCACTAAAAAAAAAAAAAAAAAAAAAGAGAAAAATACCGTGCGTAGCTCCGCCTGTCATCCTAGCCAATGGAGGCCCAAGACAGGAGGATCGCTCGACCGGTCAGGAGGTGGAGGCCAGCCTGAGCAAGAGCGAGACTCGTCTCTACTAAAAAACAAGAAATAAAGACTGACAACTAAAATATATAGAAAAACACGAGCCGGGCGTGAGGCGCGTGCCTGGAGATCCCAGCTACTCGGAAGGCGAGCCGACAGAGGCTCGCTGAGCCACGAGTCCGGAGGCGCGCTTGACGCGATGGCTGACGCCCACGGCGCTCCAGCTGTAGCCCGGGCGAACGAACGCTGCCTCAAAAAAAAAAAAAAAAAAAATCTCCTCCATGGAAAAAAAATAAAACGAAAAAAGAAACAAAGATTAAAAAATACTAAAGAAAACAACAACAAAAACCCAAAACACACACAGTTACCATGAGAAATAAACTAAAACAGAAAGGACAGACTAAAACTAACTAAAAAAAATAAATAAGAATACAACAGTCCCCTGCCCATGGGAAAAATAAAAATATACAAAAGAAAGTTTAAAAATACTAAAAAACATTAAAACACAACAGTCCCTCCCATGAAAAAAAATCAAACTAAAAAAAGATAAACAAACTACTAAAAATCAAAATATAAAACAGTTCCCTCCTTCATGAAAAAAAATAAAACAAAAAGAACAAAGATTAAAAAATACCAAAAAACCCAAAACAACACCCACCCCAACCACAAACAAACACAGTCCCTCCCTATCCGGGAAAAAAAATAAGAAATAAACAAATTTATAAAATACTAAAAAAAATAAAAATAAAAGTACCCTCCCATCGGAAAGAAATAAAATAAAATTTAAAAAAGGATTTAAAACAAATACTATAAATAGAAAAAGAAAACAAAACTCTTCTCGCTCTCTTCGCAGCGGGTGCCTGGGGCCGGAAGGTCGAGGCCAGGGAGTCGAGGCCAGCGGGGAAGGCCGAGGCCAGGGAGGAACGAGGCCAGGGGAGCCGAGGCCAGGCGTGGTGACGCCATCCTGTGTCCTGTGACTCCTCCTCCGGTCCCTCCCAGGTTTGAACTCCTTTCCGTGGAGGCAGTAGAGGCGCCGCGTGGGGCCCGCTGGACCCGTCGCACCCGCCGTGTAAGCCCCCCTGCGTCCCCCCTTGCTTTTTCATTTTTGGGAACAGATCTCTCGCTCGCTCACCATGGGCTGGAGTGATCTCCGGCGTCCGCTGCTCACAGCGGTCCTCCACTCCGGCCTCGAGCGAGTCCTCCCTGCCTCAGCCTCCCTCCCGATGTAGCTGGAGGCCTACGGCTCGCGCCACCCACGCCGGCGGCCTACTTTCTTTTTTCTATATTCTTTAGTTGGCCAATTAATTTCTATATTTAGTAGAGACGGGGTCTCGCTCTTGCTCTGAGGCTGGCCTCGACCTCCCGGCCTCCAGCGAGCCTCCCTCCTCGGCCTCCTCCCAGAGTGCCGGGACGACAGGCGTGAGCCTCTGCACCCGGCCCTTTTGGGTGTTTTTCGGAAGTTCCCGCCTTTGAGGCTGGAACGGGCTGGCCTTTGCCTTCTAGAAGGGGAGGCCCGAGATGGAGGATGAGCCCGGTGGAGGCTGCAGATGTCCTCCACTGGGGACAAGCCTCTACTGGACCTGGGGGCCTCGTCTCTGCCTCCCGCAGGGGATTGGTGGGCGGGGACACTCGGACCGCGGGGGGGTGTCCTGACATGGCGGCTTGTGGAGGCTGGGAAGACGGAGGTCATCGTGGTCGGGCCTCTTCCTGGCAGATCTTCCCTCCTGGGACACTGAGGATGTCG